AGCCGCACTTTTTTCATTCTATTCTATTCTATTCTAATTCAAAAAGGAGCATTAAAATTAATTTACAATAATACATTTCGCACTCAATCATACGTAAGGAGATCCAAAAAAACAATGATAATTGTTAATGACGAAAGCCTCAAGTCTAATGGGAAAAATCGTAACCCCAAAGGTGATTAACCTACTCAAGGAACCTCCTCAACCAATAGAAGGTCCCATAGTTACTCAATGGCTGATCCTCATGCGCAAATTAATTCTATTCCCTATTATCTACCCTAAAGCGCGGTCTCGGAAGGTCCGCATCCCGCCAGCGAGGTTTCTCCTAAAAAATCCGCATTTATCAGCATTAACATTTAACTCCCAAATTTTATCCGGTACTTCACCAGCCCAAAATAGAAGGGATCCGGGTCTCGAGGTAGCCTCGCGTGTCCAATTCGCAAGTACCGATTTTATCCACGCCTAACAGTTTAATCCCTAATGTCTCGGACAATGCCGAAAGGAAAAAAAAGCCTACACTTCCGAATAATTGACCCGTAACGAATCTCCTGCCATTACGGCGAGGCATGCTTGGCATGGAAGCGACACAAAATCGTCCCGGAAAATCGAGACGCTCGTGGTGGACCTCTCGGTATTACAGCGCACGCAGAACAAGGACCATCCACCGAAGACGGACGGCTCTTATATCGTCGAGACCGGAAAATTAATCGAACACTTCCCGCGTTAGCTGAACACCCGGAAAACTACGTGTTATTCTATGCCATCCCACTGGCATCACAATAAAATAGGAATAAAAACCGTTTAGCTCCGTCCCCGCACGAGAGAGAGAGACGGCACACAATAAACAATGTAACTAATTTAAACGCTTGCGACAATCTGAGATGAGGAAAAGCATGCATAACTACCTGAAAACCCCATCACCAAAACCGAGTGCAACTCATCTGTGGCCGATACGCCACATGTTGTTGGACGACTCGGCGTCTACCAGGAAAGACTCGCTGGTAGGCTCCCGTTGCCTGTATCCTCCTCAAAAAGCCCTCAATTTTCACCTCCCGAATATCTGGCTATCTGTGATGGCCCACAAAACTCGAAAAACTGCTCCCAAAGCGCGTGAATAATGAAGCTGCTCTCGTCTGTACTCGCCAGCGACGTACACACAAGTATAATGGCGGATCTCTCTCGTCTCCCGTGGTTCTCGGAAGGGCCGGTGGCGCTGTCGCATTCCCATCACCCCTTGCACCCCATCCTCGAGCGCGCGACTTTCGAATCAAATTCGAATTTTCCCATATTTTTCAACCCTAATAACAGTTTATTTTAACGCTTTTCGTCGGTAAAACGGCGGTTGTTAGCCCTAATAAATACTTTCGTAATGTGATTACGTCCCAGGGGTCGTAATCTGGAGGATCGCAGAGGTAAAAATAAGCAAAAGAAACCCAATACTAAAAGAAACTCCAAACAACTGTTAACTTCTCGAAATTTTATTATAAAACAAAACAGCCATGACAATCCTAGGGGTTACTAGGGCTGCGATAGCCCCCTAGGCCTTGCACCCAAACCCTGAAACGTAACTCTTTTCCTCCTACGATCCCTTGACCGAGCGCCAATCTTGCAGCTACTCTTCCACTTACCCCCGGGACTTAAAGCGGAGGGATTTGTAATGATTTTTCTTTGGCCTCAACAAATACTCAATAACCCTAACCCAGAAGTCTCGATTATCCAAACACGGCCAACTCATTACCTTCGTTCTCGTAATCCGACAAGTCTGAAACGCCAAAAACCATAACGCTAACACTGGACTTCGGGGACAATCAGCAGCTCATCCAATCCTTATTTCGTGTATTTAGGGCGCCAGCCGATTTTTAGCAACGCGGAATCGACAAACCGCAAACGGAACCGTATTTTCTTAAAACTAAATACTGATCGTCCC